TGAAAACACATTTAAAGGAATTTTAACATGAATTTACTCTAGTTTTGACTAAAGTAAATGTCACCCAAAAATATGTCTGTGTGATAGTACAGTAGAAAGAAAAAAAGAAAGTTAAAAATTAAAATATCAAAACAATATTTTTGATTTTCAAATTAAGGGTCATCAGCTTCCAATGAGTTCCTTTTCAAATATAGTATTAAGGAATTTTTTTCATATTAACTCATATGACAATTTAAATATAATCTATAAAAGAAGTTTATATTCATCAGGAAAACACTTATTATCAAATAGTTGAATGCATTTACTTTTCCAAAAGCCACAGTAATATTTCTAACTTACCACGTGTGTAATGTAAGAATTGTTTCGCAAATTGACCTTCAGCGTCCTTGATTCCCCCACTCTAGTTGGGAGAAACCTGTACATATCTTCCGGGGCATAAACTCCACGGTGAGTCAAATCAAGCTGCCTGCTTTTGGAATAGGTTTAAAGTTAACTATTTTATATATTAAATTATGCAGTGTAGCTTTAATTTTTGTTTTCTCATACAACTTATTTTAGAGTCGTTTTGCAACCGCACCTTACCTCATCTACGTGAAGGTAAAATGGCCACAGTGTCCTAAAAGGTGCTGGTTAGCCGATGCTCTGTAAGCTCTGCCGTCACAGCATTTTCTCATTAAAGCCTGGCTCTCTACCAGCCTCAAACCCTTAGCTCATTTCACCTGGCTACTCTGAACTGTCACATGGATAGAGCCACTCTGCTGACAACACATGGTTTCTTTGGCTACTCCTCAGTCTTTGCCAGCTTCCCTCCCCTCCCTCCTTTCTGTGGCTCTTGCCCCAGGTTTGGCCCTTGTGTCCTCATCCTGACTGTGTGCACTATACTCTCGCTAGGCAATCCCAGCCCACAGTGGGCTCAGTGACCTCGCACCTGTGCAGTGCCCAGACTCACAGCTTAGCTCAGACTTAGCCTCTGAGCAACACACCCGTATATTCAATCCCACACAGTCATCTTCCTCTGGATATCTCAAAGCCATCTCAGTCTCCACAGATGCAACCTTTCTCCTCCAACCTGATCCCCCCACTGGTATCTCCTGTCTCAGAGAAGGGTGTCTGGAGCCGACCTTGACACCCTCTTCTCTCTCCTTTACCCAATCCATCCCTGAGGCCTTCAAGTTTCCTTTCTATATATTCCTCAAATCTGTCCGTTCTCTTCCTCTTCCTTGACACTATCTTACTCCTGGACCACTTAAAAATAGCCTTGACTTATTTTAGCATGTCCACTCTTGCCGCCTCCTAATCGGCCCATACCACGCCAGAGGATCCAGTCATGCCGCAGCTCCGACAGCTCTTCCTCGCCTGATGCACAGGCGCTGCACTGTCTGCACTCTGCCCTCCTCCCCTCCAGCCTCACCTCACACTGCCTTCCCATGCTGTGCTCCAGACCTGCAGCTATCCCTTGCTTCCTGAAGAGCCAACTATCTCTGCCGCCCTGTCCTTCACACAGCCGGGAACTTTTCCATCCTCTTCCCAGGCTATCTCCACTCATCCTCCTCAGTTCAAATGCCCCATTTTTCTGGGAAGTTTCTTTTCCATGTTTCCCTCCAGTCCTTTCCACGTTTGCAATCAAACACTCTAGTGTGATTACTAGGTTGATGTGGCTCCTCCTCCAGAAGGACATGGCTCCTCCAGCCATGGAGGTGGGATGGGGCATTCTGCTCTCATCCCCAGTTCCCCAGAAAAGAGGAGTGCACAGCAAGTATGAGATGAATGGAAGAACAGCCTAGAGTGTGTGTCAAGAACACATATTCTTAAAGGGCTCTAATATCCTCCAAAATGCATCATGTGCTCCAATTAGAAAATAAACAACCACATTTATATTAAATTTGGTAGGCATTTAGCATACATTTTCTTCCGTGCATCTTCCTCCAGAACTAAATCAGACCTAATTATTAGTTAACTAAGGATTATAAAAAACATTTCATTAGGTAGAATACTTAAGTATTATCATTAAAGCTGTGTAAGATGCTGGGATAAAATTTATATTTTAAAGTTTTCAAGAATCTACTTTCATATCCTGCTTATAGGAATGTTAAATGGTACAACCACTTTGGGAAAACTATTTGGCAGCTTATTTTAAAAGTAAACACATTCTTATGTGACCCAGCAATTTTGGGTAAAATTAGGTATTTTTATCCTAAAGAAATGAAAATGAATGTCCACAGAAATGCACATAAAGTTCATAGTAACTTAATTCAAGCCCAAAATTATAAGATACCCAAATGCTGACAGGAAAACAAACTGTGATATGTTTATATAATGGAATACTAAACAATAAAAAGGAACAAACTATATATAGGTACATTCAATAACATGAATAAATCCCCAAACATGTTAGGTTGAGAGAAAAAAGCCAGATACAAAGAGTGCATATGTATACGAAGTTCAAGCAAAACTAATCTACGATGATCGAAATCAGAACAGAACAACTCTTGACTGTAAAGGAACACATAATGTTCTGAGGTGAGAGAATTTTTTTTAAAAAAAATTTGGCAGCTGGTCAGTAAGGGGATATTCCATCTCTTGATTGGAGTGGCAGTAATCCACGTGAACTCATAGGTAAAGTCACTAGGAATTTTACTGAATATAACTATATCTCAATGAAGCACTGAAAAAAAATTTAAAACAACATACCCAGGTATGAGAGCAGAAGCTGCTGACACAGCTTGTCTTCGGGGCTTAACTAAATTATCTATTTTAGCGAGGGTGGCCATGGACACGCATGCACCTTCAGATTCATTTTCTGCTTTGACACTCTGTATAGAAACATCACAGGGTGGGGGAAGAGGAAGTAAGCACTCTAGGAAATATATGGACATTTACCCATCTGAATTCTACCCTTTCCTTTAAATTTTTTTTTAAAAAGTGACTTAGGATTTTTAAATCCCCTAACTGCAAACCCTATACTGTGTACTGTCTAGTTCCTCCTTCTCTCTCCCCCCACCCTCACACACAGAGTATCTTACATAATTACATGAAACATAGGTTTCATGTGCTGTATGGACAATAGAGCAAAACCCAGACCTCAAATATGCTAGTCAATAAGATTAAGATTATAGGGCTATACAACAGAATTAGTAAAACTGGGATAATACCAGGAAAATATTCTGCATTTTCAGGCCAGTTTTTCATGTCAGTTTCACTTAGTATTTTCAATATACACACAATAATTTACTTAAATTCAGTTTAACACTTACTCGTCCAGACAGCTGAAATCTCAGCGTGTGTTTCATGTGAGGCTCTTTAAGTGGGTGACACTCAGCATCCCAAAACTGGGCATAATCCCCCCTATCTCTGGGCAAAAATGTGATGGAGACCTACAAAACACATCCCGAAGAGAAATTCAGACACTGAACATTACACACATGTAGTTAGCTGGATTACCAATTCAAAGTTCTGGCATGAAAAAATTAAAGGAACAAATTCTTTGGCATTGGCTACTTTTCCCACCAAATGAAAAAGAATTTGAATAACTTTATTCCTACTGGGATTGTTACCATACTAGATCCAAAAATACACTTTTGTTTAAGGCTTTATATAACATATTCCTCAAAATGTACCGTGAATGCTTTTCTGGAGGGAAAAAAAGTTATTGAGAAGTACCCGAGCTGTCGAGCACATGATCTACGAGGAAGGTCCAGCTGCACAAACACAAGCCAGCCCTTCCTCGTGAAGCCTACGGAGCCCCCGCCAGCCCAGCAGTCAGAGCAGGAAGGCCCGGCCCTGCCCTGCAGTGCAGAGGACTGGAAGAGTGGAGGGAAGGTGGAACAATACAAGCCTCATGACACCAGATAATCACAGCTCCTGTGAGGACTAAGTTGAGAACTCCATCACAGTCAGCTACCCTGACCACACAGTGCAATGTTATACATACAACGGGCATGTGTACCACCTCTAGAATGCTCAGTAATGAGAAAACTGTAATATTTAAAAACAAAATTTTATTACACTTACCAGCATTAAGAGCCCTAGCTTTATCAAAGAATTTAGTATTAATAACATGGATCATCAATTAGGTTGAAAACGAATCGGTGTCTTTGAGTATGGACTTAAAACTTTAAAACACCAAAGTGACCTAATTTCTGTCCATGCAGAACATAAAAATCAATATACCCAGCAAACCTGAGCTTAAGGCAGGACTGCTCAAGGAGATGAGCACATTGAGCCAAGGGAATCAAACTGCTAAAGAGGATATGACACACAGAAGATGAAGGAAGTGAGAATGAAAAGCCCCACGACCGGAATGGTGAAAGCACACAATTATCAGGAGCCACTGGGGACTACAGTAGCGCATAATCCCAATTACACCCCTTTCAAACACCAAAACAAAACAAGAGGTAAGAAAAAGCTAATATTACTGCATGTTATATGCTAGGTACACACTGTGAACTTTCATGATCATTGTTTCACTTAATCTTCGTACCAAACTGACCAATGCTTCAAAACACTATTGTGTACATCTCTTACTTTTAAGAAATAGATTATAACTAACAAACTCACTATTTATTTTCTTTTGGGATCACATACATCAGTAATTGTGCTATTTGGTAATACTTTCCTAAACGGTCTCAGAATAATGTGCTGTTTTTTCCCTAATATAAATTAAGTAACCATATTTAAAATTCATTTGACAAAAATTTATTGAGTTTCTGCAATGTAATGAATAATTAGTTCAGTGTAGGATATACAGTGATGAACACAATAAAAATCAAAGACCTCATGGAGCTTACATTTCTATTTTAAGTATTGTGTGAAAGGGAGAAATTCCTGGGAGACAATCTAGGCTGCACCTTTTTTAAAAAAACAGCTTTACTGAAATACAATTCACATACCATATGTATTATTTAGATTTTTAATTTTCTGTATATCATGCTGTTTTGACATCTTTAAAAAAAAAACCTATTAGACTGGGCTAACCAACTCTTAAGAGACAGCCAAGGTCTCAGTTAGGACCATGCCTTTGATATGCAATCTCACCAGTGCAGAGCCACACCTCCTCACCTGCCACACACCCGAGGATGCAATACTACTCTGCCTTAATCACCCCAGGGCCCAGTACCATGCAACTAGAGGCCGCCCCTTTAACTCAGAGCCAACCAAAATTATTCAAGCTAGCTTACACCAAACTGTTCACCCTGCCCTGCCTTGACATTCCTGTAGAAATCCCAATAACCCAATAATGGCTGTGGTCTGAACTCTCACCTCACCCGTCATCAGCCACCTGACTACCAAGGTTCTCCCAGTGATGCTGGATGGCATGTGGTAACCTCCCTGGGAACCTGGGAACACAATTAGCTCTGTTTTTCTGAGCCTCTCCTGTGTCTCTTCTTGTGGCCACACCTAATTGACCACCACATAAAAGAACATAAGACACCATACAATCCACCCATTCCAGGTGTGTACAGTCAATGGTTTGTTGCATACTTACAGAACTGTGCAACCATCACCACAAACTAATTTTAAAATATTTTCAACAATCCAAAAGAAATCCTATACCAATAGCAGTCACTCCCCATTCTCCATTCTCACTCCCAGCCCCTTGAAACCACTAATCTACTTTTCTATTCTCTATAAATTTGCCTATCCTAGATATTTCACATAAATGGAATCATAAAATATATAGTCTTTTGTCACTAGCTTCTTTCACTTAGCATAATGTATTTAAGGTTCATCCACTGATGGAGTTTGGATGTGTTGTCCCCTCCAAAACTCATGTGGAAATTTGATCTCCAATGTGGCAGTGTTGGAAACTGATTGAGTCATGGGGGCAGATCCCTCATGAATGGATTAATGCTCTGCCTGGGGGTGGGGGGATTAATGAGTGAGTTCTTGCTCTATTAGTTCCTGTGAGAGCTCATTGCTTAAAAAGACCCTGGCACCTCCTCCCTCTCTCTTGCTTCCTCTCGCCACGTGATCTGCTTGTACCCACTGGCTGCCTGCCACTTTCCACCATGAGTAGAAGCAGACTGAGGCCCGTGCCAGATGCAGCTGTCCCAGAATCGTAAGCCTAATAAACCTCTCTTCTTTATAAATTACCCAGTCTCAGGCAATTCTGTTATAGCAACACAAAATGGACTAAAACATCCATCTAGACATAGCATGTATGAGTAACTTCACTCCTTTTTACTGCGAAATAATATTTCATTGTGTGGATAAACCACATTTTGTTCATCTACCCATCAGCAGTTGAACATTTTGGGTTATTTCCATCTTTGTTAGCTATTGTGAATAACACTGCTATAAACATTTGTGTACAAGTTTTTGCTAGAATCCTATTTCAATTTTTTTTTGTATATAACTAGAAGTGAAATTGCTGGGTCATATGGTAATTCTATATTTCACTTATTTAGGAACTGCCTAACTGCTTTCCACAGTGACTGTACCATTTTACACATTACCATCAGCAATACAGGAGGGCTCCCAATTTCTCCACATCCATACCCACACTAGTTATTTTCTGTTTTTTGGGTTTTTTTTAAACATAGCCATCTTAATGGGTCTGAAGTGCTACCTCACTTCCAGTTTTTTTTTTTTT